TCTAAAGTGATCTATGTTGGAGCCGACTTGGGGGTGGGGTGGGGGGGTGGAGAACTAAACAAACAGCATCCCCAAAGCCCTAAGTGGGGCAAATCATCTCCACTGGGCTCAGGGTTGAAATGTTGAGAAAAGACTCCGTTTCTCCAGTGAGGCACCAGGCTGCCCTGGCGGGTTGGCAATGCAAGCCCATGGCTGCCTGGCATGCAGCGATGGGAGAATCGCTGGGGCACTGCCTGGGAAGCAGGGGTCTGAGAAGGAATGAGCTGAAGTCAGGTCAGCGCTCAGGTTGATGGCAGAAGCCCTGAATCACGAGTCTGTTTACTCAAGAGCCTGCAAGAGCCACACAATCCACTTGTTTGCTTTTTATATCTCCTTCCCATGCCAGGGAGTATAACTCGTGTGTGTGCAAGGCCAAATGCACACCCACACCCTCACAGAAGGCATGTGCCACTGAACAAACAGGCAGGGCAACATTCCAACATGTATGATCTTCTGCCAATGCCCCCTTTAAAACATTTCTATGTTGTTGTTACTCCAAATCTCACTACCAATGGTGTGATCCTCAGTAAGTCTCTTAACCTCTTTGGGCCTCAGTTTTCTCATTTGTATAGAGAGCACCTCCCTACAGGGTTATTTTAAGAATTAGAGCTGATCTGCATAAAGTACCTAGCCCCAGGATGTTTCAAGGTTTAAATGCATCGAACATGTGAAGGAGATAGACCAGAGTAAATATTCAGTGTCAGGTAGCATGACTGTTATTATTATTTCCTTTCAAGCTCATGGTCACATATGAAGCAGCTCCTCTTCTGACAGAGCGCTTCACAGAACCTCTGGATGCTAACTCAGCTCCACTGCTGGCCACGCGTGTGGCTTTGGACAAGTCACTCCATCTCTCTGAGCCTGCTCTCCAAGATGAGGGCTGGGAACCTGGCCACTGTCCCCCCCACTAACGAGGTTACAATCCAAGAATAATTGCTCTGCAGTCCCATGTTTGCAAACGTGTACTACATGGTTCCGAGGAGATCTCTGTAATCCATGCTTCTAAAGAAGATGCTTGTTTTCCCAGGTAGGCAAGTTATCTGCAGTGATCCACGCTGGTCATTGTGGCTGACTTAGGGATCACACTCTCTGCTTTGATGCTGTGTCTGCGTCATTGTATTTTCCTTGAGGACAGATGCCTGGCCTTGCCCTCCACACACCCTCAGTATTCACACAGTCACATTTCCCTTAATAAATGGAAAACAAATATTTGGGGAACCATCATTTGTGGGCACCTTCTCCTAGCAGCCCAGTAATGAGTCATTCACTTCCAATCAGCAAAACATTCTCTGCATTGATGCTGTGTCTGCGTCATTGTATTTTCCTTGAGGACAGATGCCTGGCCTTGCCCTCCACACACCCTCAGTATTCACACAGTCACATTTCCCTTAATAAATGGAAAACAAATATTTGGGGAACCATCATTTGTGGGCACCTTCTCCTAGCAGCCCAGTAATGAGTCATTCACTTCCAATCAGCAAAACAGAGCTTGTGTATTTAAATGTGAGTTCAGAGGCTTCCAACTGTTTGTCCACAGGTCAACTATTAAGTGATGTTTGGCCTACCTACAGAATGCTTTAAAATGTTTTGAGTTGGTATCCAATCTCTAGAAATTGGGAGACTTGGTATTAAAAAAAAATCTAGATTTCAGTTTCTATTGAACAATCGGAAGATCTGGCAGCAATCTAGGCTTAGACCATCAGCAGTAGCTGAAGAAAAGCTGCCCTCTCTCCTGTGCCACAGCTCACTACAGCCTCCACTCCCCACTTCCCACTTTCCAGAACTATCTCTGACTCTAGCTGTTAGTCATTAATCTTCAAGGCATAAGAGTGGACTTGGTTTGCCTGCATCTAGGTTGTGCATTACATTTAACGTAGTGTGTTTTGCATGAAGCACTCCAAATATGCTCCATAAATGTGAGAAGGAGGGACTAACTTGACTAAAGTTTGCAAACATGTACTAGATCAGCGGTTCTCAACCTGTGGGTCGCGACCCCTTTGGCGGTCGAATGACCCTTTCACAGGGGTCGCCTAAGACCATCCTGCATATCAGATATTTACATTACGATTCATAACAGTAGCAACATTACAGTTATGAAGTAGCAACGAAAATAATTTTATGGTTGGGTCACAACATGAGGAACTGTATTTAAAGGGCCAGAAGGTTGAGAACCACTGTACTAGATGGTTCCAAGGAGATCTCTGTAATGCATATTTTAAAATAACATTTTTTTCCCTCAGATAGATAAGTTTTCTACTCCTCCATGGAGTTAGAGTAGAGAGATAAATCTCATGTCACTTATCAAAGCAAACTGAAGCAGAAGAAGTAAACAGAGGCCCGAAAGGCAGAAAAGCAATTTTTAAAAATTAATAAATGATGAGACTATTAACAGCACATGAAAAAGGTTTGCTTTTCCTCTCCCCTTTAATATGATTTTTACCTTAAACAGTGTGTCCCTGTAGGAAAGGGAGGAAAAGTTAATAAAGGAACCTATCACTCAAACTTAATTTTTAGTATGGCAAATAAACTGCTTTAATGAAAGGGCTGAAATCCCCAGGTTTGCACATTAAACTTTCATTCGTTGTAGAGAATGGAAATTATTGATTTAGCCGTGGCATCATGCATTTTGAATCCTACAGTGGCTTGGAAGCCCACGTTACTGCTGGGTGCAAATGTGTTGGCAGCGTTTTGATGCTGGGAGAGCAGAGGGTGGGTGAGGGGTAGGGAAAGGAATATAGAGAAGAAAAGGAGGGAGACCAGCTCTTCACAGAAAGAAAATAATCAATGTTCCTCGTTGCCAAGATCCACTTAGACAGAGCAATACTTCTGACGGTATGATGGGCCAGGGGTGCATTCTGAGATCAGAAAAGCTGGGTTCACTCAGTCTTTTGGGAAATGCCTACAGCTTCAGGGATCACTTAACAAAAAACCACACAGAATGGATGGCTGATGATTTGAGCCTAAGCTCTTGGGGAAGTTTGGATTTCAAGAAAACTGCAGGGAAGAAAAGTATCTTTCTCGCTTCAAGGTCAGGGTGTCCATCAAGGGAAGAGTAAACGTCTGACATTCTAATACTGAATTGGATAGCACAGAAAAATCAATCCAAACCACAAATACAGCTCTCAACCTGGTGTGGCCTCATCACAAAGTCAGGTGACAGGAGCATCCCATCTTTACTTAAAGCACAAAAATAGGTATGTTTTTCTTTTGAAAGAAATTAATTCTCCTGCCTCTCAGAGGACTACCCTGTATTTAAGCAACACTCAATTATTTCCTCCTTAGAGAACTCATAGGGATTGATTCTAAGCCAAGACTGAAGCAACCTGAATCAGGCCTATTTTGGGGTCTTTGTGTACCACAGACTGTATGAGATCAGGAAAGATAATTTCTAATCATCTTTAGAAATAAGCTAAACTCAATTAGAAAAGTAAACCTGCCCTGGCCGGCTTGGCTCAGTGAATAGAGCATCAGCCTGCAGACTGAAGGGTCCCAGGTTCGATTCCAGCCAAGGGCACATGCCTGAGTTGTGGGCTGGATCCCCAGTAGGGGGTGTGCGGGAGGCAGCCGATCAATGATTCCTTCTCATCATTGATGTTTCTCTCTCTCTCTCTCCTTCTCCCTCCCTCTCTGAAATCAATAAAGAAATATATTTTTTAAAAAAAAAGAAAGAAAGAAAAGTAAAGCTGCTGAAGGAAGGAAGGAAGGAAGGAAGGAAGGAAGGAAGGAAGGAAGGAAGGAAGGAAGGAAGGGAGGAGGAAGTGGAGAGAGAGAGGGAGGGATGGAGGATGAAAAAAGAAAGGAAGGAAGAAAGGAAAGACAGTCACATAATATATTCCCCAAAGAGAAGGTTTTGTTTTGGTTGCCTCCCAGCTATGGTAAGATGCTCTTACACCACTAGTCTCCCCTGTCAGCCTGGCTGTGGGAGAAGCAGCTCTGTTGAACTAAGAAGTTCTGGTTGTGTGTTTTCAGACAGAGAGCTGGTGCCATCTATAGATTTCCATTCTGGGAGAGGTTTCTCTTTTGTCCTCCTTTGTGTCAGACTTGCTGTTGTGAGGATAAGAGTGCCCAGGAGACACCTCCCCTGGTTTAATAGGCTATGAAGAATGGGGCTCATTAATTGGCTGGCAGCTGCCCCCAAACAGGACGCTAGGTGGGGTGGCCGGGAAAGGGAGGCAGAGGAGGCAGGCTCCATTCAGAAGCTCACCACTGGCTGTCAGAGGGGGCCTCAAAGCCAATGGCACCACCTTCTGAAGGACCCCATCAGGTGAAGTCTGAACTGAGAGTGACAATCCAGCTGCAGAAGCCTTGGTCTGGAGGAGCAGGCTCTGGGTCACCGTTATTTTTCACCTTAACCCTTGCATAGATATTATTTACTGGTCTGATTATTTTCAGATGCCTGGAATGTTCCTTTTTTGGTCATTCCTTTGTTCCTGTCGATTTTGTACACCAGTTCACTAGTGTATTTATTTTATAACTGATTTTTCCTTTTCAAGTCTCAGGAGGGTCCTCTCTACCTTTAGGTAAAGCCAAGCTGCTCAACCTGGCACATGAGGCCCCTGCCCTCACCCACCCCCCATCCAAACGTAGGCCACACTAGTCCATCTGCTGTTCCCCACTCACAATATTTATGTACATTTTCAAAGCGTTGCATGTGCTGTTCCCTCTGCCTGGAACAGCTTCTTATCTCAGCTTCTTCCCGTAGCTCAACTCTGGCCATCTCTGCAGACTCGGGCTCACAGGCCTTCCATGTGGGGTAGTCATCCCTGACATCCACCGCTTGTGTTCCCTCCCTGTGCTCAGCCCTCACTTCACTCTTCCGTAATGATCTGTGTCCCCAGGAAATGTCCTCTGAATAAATAAAGAGCATCACCTCCAGCTTCCTCATGGCCTGTATTTATTAGAACAAAGGGATGAAATCAACCAGCGCCTCCCCAATCAGGAGCCAGAATATCACCTCTTACCTTTATGGTTTTGGTCTGGAGTCTGAGTCCATTTAAAGTGTTGATGGCTTTCTCTGCATCCTTTGGATCAATATAGTTAACGAATCCATACCCTAAACTCTGTCCTGTGGAAACATTTTTTAAAAAAGAGAGAGAGAGAGAAAGAGAGAGAGAGAGAGAGAGAGAGAGAGAGAGAGAGAGAGAGAAAGCTCAATATCTTTATAGAGGTAACACTTCCCATTGCAGTGAATCCAAACCCTCCTAGTATATGGTTCCTGTTATACCAGGATTTACCCTCAGGTTGAGAAATTTCAAATTCTTTCATGTTTCATTCTGGTCAGTTTTTAAGCTCACGGAGCTGCCCAAGGTGGGAATGGGTACGCACTCCTGCACATCCACACCATATATACGCCAATGTCCCCTTAGTGGAGAAGAGGCAGGACAGGGTAGTGGATGGAGAACAAGTGTCATTTGTTAGAGAGAACTGAACTTGAGTCCCGGGAATTTCCCTGTAAGCGGTGTGACATCTCAGAGATGTGGAGGGGATAGGAGATTAAATGACTTGTCTCCAAAGTTTGTGGCACTTGCCACAAACAGGTTTGAGAGGGTTGATGAGATATTGTATATAAAATGTCTACCCAATACATTGCTAAGAACATAGTAGCTGCTCAACAAAAGACAGCTCTGCTATGCTTAGTCCTGTAAAACTGGGGCAAGTGCTGGATGTAGGAGCCGTGTCTGCTGCCTCAGTCACGCCAGCCACACCCACACCCAGAGGAATGCAGCAGGAGCTGAGCAGCAAAGATTGGAGGAGACATTATAGTGAAGGCAGGGCCAGAATTTTAAGCAGTCGCTGCAAATAATTCATTGCCTCCATCATTCCCCCAGCCCAATAATCATAAAAGAGGGGTGGGTTCTATTGGAAAGGACTGAGGAGCTCCTAACGCAAAGGGGGTGTGTGCAGGCACATTCTTCAAAGAGAATTTAGCTCCTTTGGGTGGAGACGGCATCCACTTGTCTGCAAAGAGAGGTGGCAAGTGACAGGGCTCCCCCCTAAGTGAAATAAAAATAATGTGTTTGCGATCGTGCCACTGATTATAAATAGTCCATCAGCTCTGCCATGTGCCATCAGCCAGAAATATCATTAGGAAACTTTACATTTACTGACATACCCTTTAAGAAACACAGAGCTCAGGGTGGCTGCAAACCAGCTGAAACTTCCCAGGCAATGCTATTGATTTGTGGGTGGCTGCAGAGCCGAGGGGAGGAAAATGACAGGACATCACACGTCAGGGAGGACTGATTACATAAAGCTCCCTTTGGAGTACAGCGGCCGGGGCTAGGAGACAATACAACAAAAAGCCTGCCATGTCCTGGTGACAGGAGCCCATTTCAGCAGCCAAAAAAATCTTTCCAACAGCTTCTGTTTTGCTGGTAAATGTCTGTGTTTGTGTCGGTTGTAGGAGGGAACCTGGGAAAACAAGTTGGGTTCTGGATCAGAAAGTGGGTGACTTTGTTATCCTTTATAGGATGGAAACAAAGAGAATCATAAGGAAACGCAAATGCATTTTTTTTTGCCCCCCAAATGACAATTCTTTCCATTAGCACATTCCTTTGTGTTTTGGAATAACAGAGTTAGAATAGGAAAAGACAGGGGAAGGGGCAAACTTTTCCAGATATACCCTTCACCAGCCAGAATGAGTAACTGAAAAAGGAGGAGAGAATCCCGAGCAGCCTCCAGCCACTGGGACCCTTCTCTTCCCCTTTCACTGTGATCGTGGTGTGTGTCTGTCTGTGAGTGTGTACACAGAAGAGTAAGTGTGAGAGAGAGGTGTGTGTGAATTACAGGACCTTGCCACACATCCCACAAAATTTTCTGCAAATCAAAAAAGTAAAAGAGATTAATTTCATTGGTTTAAAAATATCATTTATCTTAAATTTGGCTTCACCTCAACAAGCCTAACTAAATTTACCTAATTAAATTCATTTTCATCATGCAAATTTCCATTTTCACCATGCAAATTTATTAGTCCTATTTATCTTGTATATAAGAGAAGCCTTAAAAATGACTGTACTAAAATATTTTTACAGTTATTTATGTTAAACGGTCATGCACCAAGTTGGGCTGCTTCAAAGGGCATTTCAAAAAGCAATACTCTCAATGATAAACCACAGGTATGAGTTCTAGGAAATGAGTCAGACAGTCAGCCTGTCCCACTAAATATTTTGTGTAAAACTAAAATGAAAAAATATAGACAAAACACTCACCACTTAACTGCAAACATTGAACCTAAATCCAAATAGTTCATAATTCATCACAGTGATGGAATATATGTGGAGGAATTTATCATGCCTACCAGTGATGCATGTTCCCTGATACGCTATCTTTCTTTCTAATTATTCATATGTTTACAGAAATCGGAAATAAATAGTAGAGCGGCTATGATTGTTATACATTCTACATTTTATCTTTACTAGAGGCCCGATGCACGAAATTTGTGCAAGGGCCAAGCCCCTTGTAGCCCTGGCTGCCTTGGCCCATCGCAGCTCCGGCTGCCTCAGCCCTCCCAGCCCCAGCTTCATCCGGAAGGTAGTTCGGCTGTCCGGTCTAATTAGCACGTTATGCTTTTATTATTATAGATTGTGGACCTTTGTTTCAGGAGGAAGAAACACTCTCAGGTCTTGGGAAGGTTCTGAAGATCAAGTGAAGGAGAGGACTCCTGAGTCATAGCTCTCCCCCTGCCTGTATCAGTCCCAAACCCACCATCACCTTAGTACTTGACTACAGTATTATCATTATGTGCTCTAGCTTTAGAGAGAGAGACTGTGCTTAATATCAAGAAAGAGAGTGTTCTAGGAAAAGTAAAAACCAGATGAATATCCTTTTAGAAAGCAAGAGGAAAAACGATTGGAGATACTCCTTGATATGAAATAATGAATTGCAAACTCTAAACAGAACACTGCATTGAACAAGAGGAGGGCAGAAGTGGAAATCTTGCCTGTGAATTGAAAGCTATGAGATAAGCTGGCAGCCCAGTGAAACTACCTGTGGTTAACCTAGTTCCCAAACAGGCTGCTTCACGGGCCTCTTGCCATCACAGGAGTCCTGCTAAGTCTAATAAAAAGTGCTCTATGGAACTAAACACCCTCTTTACAACAGTCTATAGAGGACTAAACCCCTAGGTAGAAAATATAAAATCCAAAGACCCATTTCTTTCAAAATTCTTTTAGTAGTGGGGGAGAGTAAAATAAGGAAGAATTTTGTGTTTTGGTGGCCATATATTGGCGATAGGTTGTGGATTTGCAGTTCTGTATTTAAATGTACATAGAAAAATATAGATGAAACACATGCACAAAAAAATGCCAGCACTATATCCATGGGGACCAAGAGAGCCACCATGCTGGGAAGGCCCAAGGGACCCAGTCAGGAGCCTAGAGCTAAGTGTATATGTAGGACCCAAACATAGATATGGTCAGTCCTTATATTATTCTTTCTCTCCTCCCCCCACTGCACCCCCCCCCAAATAAATGGGTCTTCTTTCTTTATTAGCCATGGCAAGATTTGACTATATAGGTATGGCGGCAGTATTTTCAGAACAGAAAATTAAACTTAATTTTTGTTCTCAATTAATGAATTAATTTTGATAGCAAGTTGAACAAATAAAAAATTAAATTACTGAAGTTAATGTTTGTTGAATTATCAATAAAGAAAAAATAAATCAATAAAGAGGTAAGATATTATGAAATAAAGACTGCCTCCAAAATTCAGAAACTATGGTGAGAACCTGGCTTTTTGAAGCCCAGGTAACCTACAGCCCTTACATGTAACCAGTCCTTGATAGTCCTGAACATGGGCAAAGGGGGGGGGGTCTCCAATGACCACCCATGAGGAGGACATGCATTCTTGGTAGTTTGGGGATAGCAACTTAAAATTAGAATGTAGTTTCCAAGGAAAACTTCCACACATAATGCCTACATTTTAAGGCATTTCAGTTGGGTTTTGGATTAAACAGGTTTTTTTTTCTTACCAAGCTTTTCTTAAATCTGAACCTGAGTATTTCTGTTTTTGTAAATCGCACATGCACAACACAAACACATGCCGTGTCCTCCTAGTGTGACGTGGTGAAATCTCTATTCTGCTATAATGATTTGTACACCTAACTTCTCCCCTTAGACGTCAACCACTTCTCTCCCCAAAAACTAGCTTATAAAAGTTTGCATCTTTGAACATAGAGGGTACTCAACAAATACTGGCTAAGTGAAAGAATGGATAAACACATTTGTACTAATTCTTTAATTCTGGAAGCATATGACCAGATGTTTTTATGTTTGGGAGGGAGAAGAGGTAGAGGGCGGGTCCCTGGGGAAAGGAGAGAACACGACAATAAGCTAACATCAGGGATGATTGGAAAACACAACACAGACAAAAAATGTCCTAGGTGGCTTCTGCAGCATCGTTCAGGTGGATGATAAAACCCATCCCTGCCCACCTTCCACAGAGACTCTGGGTTTCCAAAGTGCTCTCCCCTCTCCCCCTTCTGTCGCATTCAATTCCCACAACAGCCTGTGGGAGAGATAATCATCATTTTACAGATGTGGAAACTGAAGTGCAGGGGAAAGTGCACTGCTTTTCCCTACGTTACAGAGCTGAATCTTAGTCTAGATCAGGGGATGGGGAAATTGTTTTATACATAGGGTGAGATGGCAAATAGTTTAGCATTGGTGGGTCCTCCAGGCCCTGTCATGACAACTCTGCCATTGTAGTATGAAAGCAGCCACAGACGACATGTAAACAAATGAGTGTCTGTGTTCCAATAAAACTTTATTTAGAAAAACAGGCAGTGGGCTCAATTTGTCTTTTGGGCCATAGTTTGACCCGGTCTAGAGCTTTTGACTCCAAATCTGGTATCCTTTGCGATAACCACAGTGACTCCATTTGAACTAAAATGTTATTGACAACTGTTTTGAGGCCCTGAAATACCTCTGAGGCTTTTCTGAATCACCTAAGAAAAAGCAGATTATTGCTGATAGTTTGCGTTAAGCATTTTTAATTTGTACTTAAACTCTAGGGAGTGTGACCACCATAGCTGATATAACCCCTCATTTTCCCAGTCATTCAGGACAG